CTGGACCGTCCAGCTGGCACAAGTGCAAAAATAAAATGAATAGCAAATAAATGGCGAAATGGAAAGTAAAATTCTCTAGGAGTTATTATTTAATGACAGTGGCAAGCGGCAGCCGAGGCACAATGGCTGATTGGCTGTTGGCTTTGTGCCCAATGATGTGATGTCGTTTTTTATCTTGTTGCCGCACAGGTTTGAAATGTTTTAAGGAGTGAAGGAAAAAGGGTACAGCTTTGAACTGAAATTGTTTTCAATTGCTCTGCATTATTTGCTTGCAAGAATTATTTTTAATGAGTATAATTATTGTGCTGACTTAAGAGCCATGAGTTCAAACACACAAAGCAGCACAAAAGTTCAACTATGCGGAAAGGAAAGGTAATGGACCAAGGTTGACATTGTGCAGCCAGTTCTCGAAATAAGAAAGAGACACAAGGAATGCCAGGGTACACCTTGACCGCGAGGCCGCAGTTCTAGCGTAAGACAGTCATTTCCAGAAATTTCTGCGAAACCGCGTATGTGAGGTTGCTGAAATTTTAACGGAAAGAGCGAAAACTGTCTTCTATCATCGGTTAGGTCTTTTCAGGCTAATTCTATAAATTGATATTCTGGTATGAATCGAGGAGGCTTGGTGCTATGAGCTTCCGGTCATCAAATCTCATTTTTGACACAAATCTAAGTTATATTATGTAGATTCAGACTGCCAGCATTCACGTTGCCATTTCGACCAAATGCTTAACTAGAGTTAAGAGCTGAATAAGTTCCAAGATTTTAGCATGGCGTGATTGGAAAGATTGGACAAGAGACACCGCGACCTGAAAGAGTTTTTGGATATCTTAAAGAGAGAGAGTTACTAACCCAGTGTGGCCAAGATACCTTCGGCCTCTCTAATGAATCCTAAAACGGCATTGGTAGGCGAATTCCTTGTAACAAAGCATTCGACCTTTGAAGCTTTAAAATGGGTCAATCTTTGTCTGACCAAAGCCGAACAGTGACAGAGTATATGCTCTGAAGTTTCATCATCTTCAAAGCAAACCCGGAATTTGGACTCTGTGATCACATCTATTCGGTGCGAATGGAATCACAATCGGCTGTGACCAGTCAGGTACCCAAAAAGTAGCCTGATGCCATTTCTGTTGTTTCCTAAAATAATATCCTTTCTGTTGAAAGGGTATCCGAAGAGCCTGGCGTGTCTATGGCCCCTCACCGCTCCCCAGTACTTACTGTGTTCCGAGTGTACCCACTCAGTATGGCTCTCAAAGAGGACCCTCATAAATCACAGCATTTTTCAGGTCCCAGAAAGGCAGTTAGCGATCATTCTCGTGCAAGCTCGTCAGTTACCACATTGCCTTCAATTCCACAATGGCCAGATACAGAGGAAGTGTTACCGTGTTTTTGGCTGTCAAAATTTTTAGCATGCCAAAGCAGTGATTTTAGCAGTCAAATGATGGCTGCTTGGCTACAACTGAAAAGATCACTAGAAAGGTGCCCTTCAAACACTTTTCACGGTTTATTGCCCATAGGAATTGCAAGTTTAGTGCTAGGTCCGAAAATACCTGCATCTGCTCTGTCCTCCATCCTTGAACCGTAAGTGTACCAGTGTAGGTATCTGGGATCAGGTTGGAGAGATTTCTAGAAGGTTAGGTTAGGTTAGATTGAAGTGGCCGCCAGTGACCCCACTAGCTCACGTAGGCCCTTAGGTTATGGGCCCGTTGTAATACCACACGGATAGTTATAACCCTCCTACTCAATCCATCGTCTGGATTTCGCGAAACCCAGAAGTTGCAGTATTCCTACCTCGGCTACGTCGGTTAGGTCTTCAAAGAATCCTGAACCCATAAACTTTCGTCTTCTTCTACAGAGTGCGGGGCATTCTCATAACAGGTGCCGAAAGGTTTATGGCTCTTCTTCTTTTCTGCAGCTTCTGCGAAAGTCGTTATGGGGGACCCCTAACCTCTCCGCGTACCTTCCGATAGCAACAGACCTACAGCTGCAGCTAGGTCCCTCAACATAAGGAGATCCTTCGACTGCTTTTTGTCCCATTTTGGCCAAGTAAGTTTCGTACTGTTGAAATGGTGAGACTAACCCACCTATCCCTTGCTAGTTTAAGAGATATTTATTATTAAAATGAGCTGGCATGTATGGAAGTAGAATGGATGTGCCTTCTCTAGCAAGTTCATCTGTCTTTTCATTGCCTGAGCAGTCTGCTGTGCCATCTCAATTAGAGATTTGCGACAGTCCCTTATGGGTTTTTAACTGCATGTGATAGAATTGAGCGCTTAAAGTGTGGCCCAATGGTTGGCGATGTCGATGTATTTTTTTTCATAAAAAAAGTACGGTATTTTTGAGTACTGTGGTCAGCGTAGCTGGAGTTCGACTTACGAGAGCAATTTTTTTTTTTATAAAAAAAATGGTATCGACGTCTACCTCGACAACCATAGTAGTGTGGATTGTTACGTATGACTTCTCTTGCGCGTAGGTGCTCAACCGCCTCCTGTATAGCAGGGACTTCAGCTTGAAAGACGCTGCAGTGGTTGGGTAAGCGTCTTGCTTAGAGCCATCGGTGTTGAGGTATAATGATCCATTTTCATCAGGAGCCCCTCTTGACCAGCATGTTCTGCCTGGAATTGAAATCCTATACCTATTTGTGAAGTTCAGACTTGGTGCACAGTAATCCATGTCCGTTATATTTACGTTATTTAGGACTACGGTGTGGCCATCCTAAGTGTCTCTCCAGCCTGGTAGTTCCCTTAGCCTCAAGGCGGCACACCCCGCTGATTGTTTACCTACAATTTCAATTGCAAAATATTGATCAGCACGCACATAGCCTCCGCTTTCCAGACAAACTGTCCTAACTCAGACGAGCCTATTTGTCTGACACAGGTGAGATGGGACAGTATCTCTGACAGCGCTGAGTTAGTACAAAGTTAGGTTAGTTAATCGAGTTAAAATAGTCTTTCGAACGGCGTTAAAGATGGGCTAGATTAACGGCTATCGACCAGTTGATATGAAGTAGCCCGGGCCGTCGATATGGCAAAAGATATTCCGGACGAAATATAGCCTCTCAAACTAATTCGACTGTGGAATTAATACCCGTAAGAAGCTAACAATCGTTTACAAACACGCATTTCAAATAATCCAAACTTGTTTCTGTTCCACGTGCATTTCTCTCACGCAATGCGGTAATGCTAATGAGTTAAGTTAATCCCTTCATCCATTTTGCCGAGTTTTATTTCCTTT